ACAGGCGTCGCTTTTTGGAATAATCATAATTTATGAAAATCATGCGAAATAATGTAAAAAAATGATGTTTTCTTATGAAATTTGAAGATGATATGAATAAATGATGAAATGGAACTTTTTTTTCACGAACGCTGCATTCTCATCGGACTCGACTCCGACGAGATTGAAATAGTTTTAGCATTTGTTCAGTTATTTAGATTATTCATAATAAGGAAAAATTCAAAGTCGATAATTTTACTATAATTAAAAAAAGAATTGGTCAGGAAAACATTGTTGAAACCCATAATTGGTCATATCCATCTACACTCATCCGTTCGTTGTCGCACTGCAACTAAGGATCGAGTGATCGCCACAGATTTTTTATGTGTGAAATTGGAATGGCTTCCATTCGGAAGCTTATTACCAATGTAATTGGTAACGAGAAAAAAAACGCATGGATTAACGGTCACATGACTTCTGCCAATTAGGGCTTCTACCCCTGCTTGTTTTGGTATAATTTATAAAAATTTTCCGAAAAATGACCACATACTTTCGCACATACATACACACATTTTCTAAAAACATCATATCTTCACGTTTCATGATATTCTACATCATTTCCAGGCAAAATTGGAAGATCGCAAAAAGCAGCGGTCACAATGTTTCCATGCGGAAGCAAAAACTAATAATATGTAAAATTGTATAACAAACATTTTTTATTTGAAGTACTTTTTTTTATCTCTATTGAGTTAGCCGATAGATGCATCGGAACGCGACAAGATCTCGCGCAACGCGCGGCCCACCTCCGATAACTTTTTATCTATCATAGTTAGGAGAAAAAGTTATAAAATAAAAAATGTGTATTTTTACAGATCAAACATCTTTTGTTTGAAACCTGTTTCCCTATCTATAACCGTTTCCGTAATATGATCCAATAAAAAATTAAATTGTTAATAACTTTTGTTTGCATCAGTTCTCGTCGAAATGATCTTCAAATTCGGATTCTACGCCCCAAAAAACATCGAAAGACATCAAGTCGACCAGTATCCCCAAAAATGTACAGCAAATGGTAGCTATAGCGAATAGACTAAATAGCTCTCTACTTCCTTCACCATTAGGTACCACATCTCTCAAACTGTTTCACACTCATCTTATCCATGATGATGTAAAACCACTTATCTTTCTTATTCAACCATACAATACTATCAGCTATCTAAATTTTTAATTATCTATTCTGTTGTTTTCTTTTTCGTTATTTTCTTTCTGTGTATTATAATCAAAACATTGTACATCATATGTAAATACCAGGCTGAAGGCCCTCGGGCGATGGTCATTCACAAGCTTCTTGTGACAAACACTGTTAAAAATAAATAAAAAGTTACATAATAATAATCCGGTAAAATTTGCAGGCTCCAATTCTCAATTTCTATCATTTGTTCTGTTCATTCTATCAAAAGACAGGGATAGAAATCGAATTTATGGATATTCTTCCATTACTCGAAAATATATATAAATTTTAAAACTTTCTGGGGACATTGAAAAATGAATTTTTTAGTTCTTCCCGCCATTTTTTTTGCATTTTTGGAATTTCTGCTCCCTGAAATATTGATATTTCCTTAATACGTGAAGAGAAAAAGTGATTCGAAGTTTCCGCCGACATAAAAGAAAAAAAAATCCATTTTCTAGCCGATTATTCCTTTCTGAATCTTTTTTCATTTCCTTTGCATAATATGGAAAAATAGATTTTAAAAATTTTCAGGAATACATGAAGAGATTTTGCGATTACCCGAATGAGATTTCGAATAACTTTTGTTTTGTGTATTTATTTTCATCACAAAAATAGTACATTAGAGTACAAGGGCACAAATTTCGTTTTCGACGAATGTGAAGTTTACAGGCCGAGCCGAAGGCGAGGTCTGTATTCACATTCGTTGAAAACGAAGTTTATGCCCGAGTGGTCTATACTATTTTATGCCACATCGTGCAGAAGTCGAGTGTGAAGCACGCTGCGCGAAGCGCAGCGTGCGATAAACTCGACTTATTGCACGGCGTGCCATAAAAACACTTTTTATTGATCTTTAATATAATTCCTTTTCATTCAATATTGTAGCTTGTAAATTAAGAAAAAAATATATAATTAGAATAAAAATGGATAAAATGCAATTAATCTAATTGTGAAGACGGAAATTAAAATAAAATAGTATAAATTAATCTGAATAAAATCTCGTTAGTAAATATTTTATTTTTATTTTTTTATTTATGTATTAACCTACAATGGGTTATTTACAATCATTTGCGTGATAATTACATATCCATTTCACTTAGCTTGTTATATTACTTTAGTTACAGTAGTCTTTGGTCGTTTAGATTCTAATCTTGTAAGTTTTAATAAACTCGTGTATAATTTTAATAGGTTCTAGTCTTTTGAGAACGAGGAGTGAATCTATGGTAAAGGGCCTTGGACATTTGATTTTGATTAGCTGTTCAATCATTTTTTGTCTTCCCGTTGGAAATTGGGGACATTCCCAAAGTACATGATTGATGTTCTGAATTTTGGCTCCACAGGTGCACTCCTTGCTATTTACAATTCCAATTCGTTCTAGCGATTTGTTAAGGTGGTAATGATCTGATCTCGCTCTGTTAACCCAGACAACCAGATCTCTAGGAAGCTTTTTGCCTTAGTACCAGGGACGGATATTATTTTTCCAGAAGTTCTTGAAATAATTTATTCCTTTTGCTTTCTTTTGCTTGTTTTTTTTGTCAGGTTCAGATTGAGATTTGATAAACTCACGTGTACTCTGATGTCCTTCTCGTTTAAAAAGGGCTTTGAAATCTGTGCTTGGGACGAGGAACTGTATAGCAGACTCTTCTTCAGCATTCCTTGCCAAAGAATTAGCCCTCTCATTACCTTCGATCCCTCTATGCGCAGGAATCCAGCGAAAATTTATTTTGGTTTTAAGTGGGTTATCATGGTAAAATTCCTGATATTTTCTTTTCACGTCTATGATATACGGGTTAATATAAGGGTTGAAACTAATAGACCCTAGACTTTGTAGAGCGCTGAGAGAATCAGTGAGAATGAGGTGGCTGAGTTCTTTGTGACAATTTGCTAGATCGACCGCGAAGTAAATATATTGGGTTGGGGAAAAAGTAATTTCGGTTCTTCCTAATAGATGGCATTAAAGTTGTATGTCTCTAGTAATGCTTATTCAATGAAGCCATACTATAGCATGTTTAGAAGTTTACAGTCTATAGAACATCCTAGAGTACAAAGTAGCGTCATTCGTTTACTCATTCAAAAATTATTGCATTTTGACAATGGAGATTCCAGAAGGCCACTTTCGTCACATTTTGCTTTTTTACTTCCGAAAAGGAAAAACTGCAGCGTAGGTTCATCGAAAATTGTGTAGTGTTTATGGTGATGAGTGCTTAAGTGAACACCAGTGTCAGAATTGGTTTGCTCGATTTCGTTCCGGAAACTTCGATCTTAAAGATGAACCTCGCCCTGGTTGGCCAACCGATGAAAAAGTCGATGAAATTCTTAATGAAATCGAGGTAGAGCGACATTTCATCTCGCGACATTGCTACGAAACTAAACGTCGACCATAAAACAGTTTTGAACCATTTACATAAGACTGGATACCAAAAGAATCTCAATACTTGGGTTCCACATGAATTAACGTCGAAAAATTTAATGGACCGCATTTCCATTTGTGAATCCCTGCTGAAATAAAACGAAATCGAGCCATTTTTGAAACAAATGATTACGGGCGATGAAAAGTGGATCACGTACGAGAATAATGTGCGAAAGAGATCGTGGTTAAAGCCCGGAGAAGCTTCACAAAAAGTTGCGAAGCCCGTATTGACGCCAAGGAAGGTGATGCTGAGTGTTTGGTGGGATTGGAAGGGCTGCTCGAACCTGGCCAAACCATTAGTTCGACTGTCTACTGTCAACAACTAATGCGACTGAAGCAGGCGATTGAAAAAAAACGGCCAGAATTGATCAATAGGAAAGGCGTCGTCTTCCATCACGACAATGCTAGACCGCACATATCTTTAGTGACTCATCAAAAACTGAGAGAGTTTGGCTGGGAAGTTTTGATGCATCCACCGTATAGCCCTGATCTTGCCCCGTCGGACTATCATTTGTTCCGGTCTCTGCAAAACTCTCTTAATGGTGTAAAGCTGGGTTCAAAAGAGGCTTGTGAAAATCGCTTGGTTCAGTTTTTCGCCTAAAAACCTCAGAAGTTCTACAGTTGCCGAATTACGGTTTTACCAGAAAAGTGGCAAAAGGTCATCGATCAGAATGGCACATATATCATTGATTAGTGTTTAAAATTTATATTAACAAATTCACTTTGAAAAACATGAAAAAAAACGAAATTGCTTTTTCCCCAACCCAATAATACATATCGTTCGTTCTAGAGAAATTGTAAACCAAAAGTTCGGGCACATGCATGTTTGGACACGTACGTATCTTCAAAAACGTCATACAATGATTTTGAAGATCAGAACACATGGAGATATGATAAAATACTCACATTCTATTTTCAGTGCCATTACAATAACTTCTTTTCTATATACAACAAATTTACTCTCCCTCTTCATGCCAAAAGTTTCAACTCCACAAAGTATTTTCCTCAAACGCAATTTATTTTTCAATCCACAGCTCATTGTTAACAATAAAATCATCAGGAAGTTCCATCACACGTAACTGAACCGCGTGATTGATTCTTCAATTCACTTCGCTCCCTCCACAGAAAAAATGTAATCGAAAACTCAATACTGTTCGTCTCCGGTCAGCGGACGTTTTCCAACTGTTCTGCTCAATTTCTATTTGAAGTTGCAATTCTAAGGAAAAAAAGAGAGACTTTTTTTTCGTTTTGCAAACCCCTATCGAGTTCTAGGTATCATGCAAGATTAACGATGCGCAGTCTATTATTACCAGCACCTCCAGTTTGAAACATTGAATTTCTTCGAGCTCTCGCTGCATGTCAATCACTTCCCCTGATGATCGCAAGGGGATATAGTCCATCGAAGGGGGAGCTCATCTTGGAGAACTGACCTCGACTCGGGTCACTGCAATAAAAAAATTATTTCCAACATGACTTCAACGAAGAGGGGGAAGTTGCCCATGAAGGTAACATATTTTTTTTTATCCTGCGTTGGTTTCGGAGTCGCGGAAACTGAATATGATAGAAAATTACTGAACATTTCGTTGTGTGCATTCCTACTGTTGAGTACTGCTTCGATATATTTCACCGCTACCAATTTCTATCTTAAATTGAATCGAGGAATTATTTCTGTGAGTCTGCAAGAGCACGTATGGAAAACATTTATAGACAATTCTATTGGATTCCTATTGAATTTTCTATTAGTTTTTGGCCGATTCTGTTGAAATGCTCAATAGAAAATATTCTAGAAAGAAAAAATAGAATTCTATTTTTCTATAAAACTTATTCTATTGAGATATTTTCTATAGAATCTGCTAGACTAAAATTTTAAGGTGTTTCACGAGTAGATTACCGGGGGAGGTAAAACGGGAGGGGAGTCATATTGTTCGCGAGCCCTGATGCAATCGCTGAGCACGAAATTTTCCAATTTTCAAGTAACTATTTGAATGTGCAGTTGAACATTTTTTGAATATTGATTTTATTTATCAGATTGATTGATTTTTCTCTCATCACCTACGGGTGTCAAATAATTTTTAACTTCCCGACCCGAAGGGAGGAAGTTATTGTAATGACCCCGAAAATCGAATGTGGAAATTTAAGCATTTCTCCACGTTTCATGACCTTTGGAACCACTTCTGACCCTTTTCAGGTACCTGTCTGTATGTGTGCATGTGTGTATGTGTGTGCATACGTCTGTGACAAAAATTTTGTGCCACGATTCCTCCTGAACAAACGATGCGATTTGACTTTTTTTTTTTAATCGCTGTATTTTCATGTGACTTGAACCTGATTAGATTATGGAGACGATCGTCTCAGCGTTTCTCCAGTTTTTTCCAAAAAACATTTGGAAAAAAGTCGAAAATTAGCGTTTTTTTGTAAACGAGACCATTTCTCCGTGCATAACGATGCGATTTCAAGTTTTTTTTGTTAGAAACGATGAATCTTGATATAACGCACAAATCATGGAATACTGGAAGACATTTAATCAGCAGTTCACTAGCTTTTTTCGAAATCGATATACATTCAAGAAACAATTTTACTTTTCTGATAAATTACATCTTTTCTCGATGCGGAATACGGCGATGTGTGTGCATGGGAGTGTGTGTGAGTGCGAGCACGCGCACGGATTTTCTTGTCTTCTATGGGTATTTCCTCGGAGAAATGTGAGAAAAAGATTGAATAAATACATAATAAAAAAATTAATGAAAGAAAAAACACATGGTCGGGAAGTTATTGGTGCGACCCGTAATGGGTCACATCCAATTCCACCAACCCCTACCGGTCATACCCTAAAGAGGGAGAGCGCGAAGCGCGCGACCGGGCCTGATTTTTATTGGATGTTTTTCACTGGATGTTTTAAACCTGTCGAGTGGTTTCCCTCTCAGTTCCATGGCCCACCCCATATCTTTCCCACAATGCTCACTGACATTCGAATCTCCTTAAAAATTAAAAACAAATATTTTTGTAAAAAAACTGCGCCAAGAAAAAGGTTTGTTTGGTTTTTACTGAAGAGTGAACATTTTTGAAAAATACAAATAAATGAAAAAGAAAGCCAAGTCAGGAATGTCAAATAAATGGGTATAGTACACGATCGGATTTCTATACAGTAGACTCTCCCTAGCTCTCCACTTTCAGGGGACAGAATTCCAAGAACAAAAAGCTAGAGGTTGCCTCTTTCCTACGGGTAAGAGGCGTGTCTTACGAGAGAGACACCGCGACTATTCGAGCGAGAACGCTATACCTATCGTCATGCCCCATAAACCGTCCGTACCTCTTCATTATACATGTCAAAACCTTTCAATTGGAAGTTAGTTAGTTAACAGCAATTGAGTTGATAATAATATCATTTCTCGATAACGAGAGGCTCAATAAAAAATTCGGGGTTGAGTCTGGTGTGAGAATAAACTTCGTTTTTTCGAACTTACATCATGCGACATCAATGTGTCTAAAAGCATAAATTTTTATTCTAACCTGAAGCTCATTTTTTCGCACTCTCTCAACAAATAATTTCTATTTTCCTCTTTGCTCAGTGATAAAGATATCCGGGTATAAATGCCATAGTTTCAATGATTTATGTATTTAAACTCCCAAACTTTTCTGATGTTTTTGATGAAACGAGATTTTTGATGAAAAAACGAGTTTTTTCACACACCTGCACGGACGGTTCGTACTTTGCTCCCTGATGAGCGGGAGGGAAGTGAGTACTTTGCCAAGGGCAGAAAGGCAAGACTTTCCGCCCTTGGCAAAGTCTCTTGTCAAAGTCTTGCCACTCCGCCCGAGGGAGTAACTTTCCACCCGAGGGCGGGAAGTACTCACTTTCCTCCCGCTCATCAGACAGCAAATAGTATATTTCTAACCTAGGGAGGGAAAATAAAGGATTCTCAGCCGCCAGTGCAATTACCAGCTGAGCCGAAGGCGAGGTTGGTAAGCACGCGGCTGAGGGTCCTTTATTTTACCTCCCGTGGTTAGAACGCGATTTTCCGTCTTGGCGTAGGCGTAAAGTCAGAGTTCCCTCCCGCGAAGCGTAACTTTGCGCCCGCCGGGACGGAAATACAAACTTTCCTTTGCAGGCGTGTTAAAAAATAGCATGTGTACTTCGGGCGGGAAAACATGACTTTCCGCCCTAGATGCACAATATACTATTTTGATGAAACGAGATCGTTCACTGGTTTTGTGCTTCCGAATGGAAGCATTGTAATCGTGCTGTTTTCACATTCTCTAATTTTGATTGGAAATGATGTAGAATGGTCTGAAATGTAAAAATACGAAGTTTGGCGACCATCTCTGTCGGTGTCAATGTCCACCGCCACCTTTCCGGTGGTCAATTTTTGGAAAATTGAGTAATTAATTGGCTAAACTTATTCCAAAAAATCTGAAATTTCGTCAGATTATAGACCTTAACAAGGACTAACTCTGTGCAAAAGTTCAAGCCGATTGATGAAATAGTTTTTGAGAAAAAGCTATTCGTTTCTAAATCGTTTTTCGCTAATATCTTCGAAGCTAGTCAACCGATTTCAATTTTTTTTTCTAAATATTCGTTTCCATGCCTGCTATCCGAATCAATCAAAAGATATATACCCGTTTATACCAAGTTTTCGGAATATTTCCGTTTTTCAGTTTTTTCATAAAAATCCTTGTAATCACTCTAGGTTGTACAAAAATTAAGATATCAACTTAAAATTTGGACATAATATTCCTCTTATGATAACAATCGTTCCAATTGAAAACGAGCTCTATAGCATAAGTAGTTTCCGAGATATTTGACTTTCTCTGGAAACCTTTTATGTGCAATATCTTAAAAACTACGCAACCGATTTCAATTTTTTTTTTCAAAATATTTGCTTCGATGCCTTCTATCAGAATCAATCAAAACATATACGGCCGTTCATACAAAGTCTTCGAGATATTTCCGTGTTTCTGTTTTTTCATAAAAATCCTTGTAATCATTCTAGCTTGTGCAAAAATTGAGATATCAACTTGAAATTTGTCTAGAATCTTCCTCTCATGATAACAATCCTTGCTCTTGAAAATAAGCTCAATCGCATGGGTAGTTTCCGAGATATTCGATTTTCTCTGAAAACCTTTTATGTGCAATAGCGTAAAAACTACGCAACCAATTTCAATTTTTTTTTTCAAAATATTTGTTTCGATGCCTTCTATCCGAATGCCTTTAATCCCATTTGGAAGCTTACTACCACTGGAATTGGTAGAAATGAAAGAAAGAAAAAGAGTCATAACACATAAAGTAACGGTGGGATGGCTTCGGCCAAAAAGGCTCGAACCCCTGCTTGTTTAAACGTTTCCTCTTGGCTGGGAGCTAATTTTTATGATCGCTTTGCCGCTTGTGGAGATTTTATTTATTTTTAATCCACCCTTGCACTTTTTTTTTATGGACACCGAGCTCGTTGGCAATAACCTCAATAGGAAATCCATCGTCCAATTCTTTCAAAGCTTTCAATTTGATATGTAATTCGACTGCTGTGATTTTTCTTTTTCTCTTCACCACACTCATGTTGAGGTTATGTCCTCACGCATATGCAAAACACACCGACCGGCAATACAGTACTTCTCCTCTAAAACTCACAATTGCAAGGTAAACAGTCCCACGATTCGCCCTGACTAACACAGTCACGGGGCATCATTGACACAGACCTAAACAGTCAAACAGCTTCTTCAAGGGAAGCTGGACTCAGGTGGCACCGTGTGACCGGTTACCACGATGTCTATAGGACACCGTGTGATTGCTGAGCTTATGTCTGGATGGCAGGAAAGAGAAATCATGTTTTTACTTCCCATAGGAATCCACTGGGTCGACCGAATGTCTCTTAACATTATTCGAATCGACGTATTTATCTATCTCAATACGTCACACACGCCAAGAACGTGGGTCCTGCTCCTACTGATTTTTTATTTTATGGAGAATTAAAAAAAATCCTTTTTCTATTGAGAACTATTTTTCTTATAGGAATCCGATCGTGTACTATAACCATTTATTTGACATTCCTGACTTGACTTTCTTTTTCATTTATTTGTATTTGTCAAAAATGTTCACTTTCCAGTGTGACCGTTTTCTCGATTCTATGAAACTAATTCCTGAAGAGAGGATTAGGGCGAGTCAAGAAAAGGGACAAATAAGGGATAATTTGAGAATAATTACCTATATTTTCTCTTTATACAATTCTGATCGCCAAAAGACGTAAATACGGCCTTTAATGAGATCTAGGGAGTGGGGGAGGCCAGGCAACTTTTGTACACGTGCAAAGGGAGTGACTCTAATGCAGGAAAAAGGGGAGAAGCTAGTCGTGTCGAGGGAATGCAACTGAATATAAAAATAATAACTGAAGGGGAAGAAACTAAATAGTGTAGGCTCACCGTTGGGGGGTATGAAAAGGAATACTTCTTGAGGCGACGAGGAAATGAGGGGGACAACTCGTACTCACGACTTCCAGTTAAGGTCTAATCCGGGTCCCTCAGCGACTCCAGCGATTGAGCCTTCGTTCCTCCTTCCAGACTCCAGGGGCACAGTACTTAGAGCCGGGATGAGCTCGGGCACCAAAAATCCTCTTTACTCGAACAAAATCCAATGTACCGACTTCGGGGTATGTTCACTTTACATTCACTTGACTTGGGG